TTTATTGTTAAGAAAAATCAGCGAAATTTTTCAAAAAAAATTTAGCTTTAATAATAATAACGCATACACTCAACATAGCCCCGCACTAGGAAAACCCTGTGTCGCGGGTACCATGGCATAGACATACTCATAGAAAACCACAAATTACACCCAAACTCACGAGATAAATAAATGTATTTCATACAAATATTTCTCTCGGTCCGGGAATCGAACCTGGGACCCCTGGGTGGCAGTCCGGCATGGTAACTGACGTGTTATCATTATACAATATGAATCGGACCTAAGATATACCTATACCTAAGATGGACCTATATGCAGGTAGGTTATTTTATAGTTATCTGATACCATTGTGAGCCACCAGGGGGCCTAATAAGAGCTCTTAGAGCAATTCTGTTTAAGCCCGTAATTTGGATTGCCTGTCAAATTCGTACTATGACCTCACAAAAACAATTTTCACTTTCCATGCAATTTATGTTCCCCATTCGAAATCCGTTCACCTTTTCTTTCATAGCAAAATCGTATCATGACGTGCCATTTGTCATGCAAATGGCGGTCTCATCTGTAAAAATAAGCAATTCAAAGAAAGTTACTCCGTGATTAACTTTTTGAAGACTTTGTTACACTTTTAAGAAACTTCGTTTAAGTTTTATTGTATTTTCAGTTTCATAATTATTTGTCATCTTTTTAGGTTTTACAGCCAATTGTCAATAAATAAATAGTATTAAATATCGAGTGTTTTTCGAATATTTTAGTTCGAGTTTCCAATCTTTAAAGTTTTGTTGATAAATTATTGGCATGAATGTTATTGAAATTTTTAAATTGGATCTGAATCATTTTAATAATTTGATTGACTTAGCGAAAATCGTAAAATAACTTTTAAATAAACTGTCAAATTTGACTTTAATGCAATCAATAATTAATAATTAATAATAATTAAATAGTTTATTTGTTTAAATAACAAATGGCTTACAAAATAAAGCCCGCCAAACTGCAATACAGTTTGTTGGCAGGGACACACTCTCATTAAATAATATGCCTCGACCCACTCATCATACACACACATCCGCATCCACCTATCGTACACACACACCACACATACTCATAAATACTAAACTACATACTGTTTAACCATTTGATACTTGTAGCAACAATGTCTCCTTCACTTTCTTTTTAAACATCAGCTTCGATACATTACTTTATGACAAATTTTTTTTTTTTCGGAAAACTTACAGCTAGGTAACAATAATAAAAGCTTAAATATAGTACATGCCTGACAGATCAGTGCATGTATGCTGAGGGCTAATTAAAAGCTTCCACAGATTGATACAATGTAGGTGGAAAGGAAGTTGACGACTTAAAAAACAATGAATAGTAAGCATTAAAAACATTATAAATTCAGCTAAATGCTTGAAAAGAAATAATCACTAAGTAATCGTTTTACCTTACTTGCACTAGTGTTGAATAGGTCTACATCACTATATTTATTCAATAAGTTGTTATATGAGCAAGACGCTCTACTTATAAATGCATTTTGCCTATAATTGGTTCTAACTATGGGAACGTAAAGGGTTATATGATTTCTCAGTGCAACCTTGCCTGCGCGTAGTCCTATTCGCTCAAGGAGTTCGGGGCAGTCAATAGTGCCGTTTGCTATGTTAATAATATAAGTCAAATCTGCTATTTCTCTACGTCTGTACAAAGGCAGAAAGTGAAATTTGCGACACCTAGTCTCATAGTTTGGCAAAAATATACCGGCTCGATATTGTAGGTAACGCAAAAATCTCTTTTGGATGTATTCTATTCGTGCAGAATACGCTTTATAGCGAGGATTCCATACCTGAGACGCATATTCAAGGTGGCTCCGAACATAACAACAAAAAAGTATTTTAAAAGTTTTAATACTTTTAAATTCCGAGGACATTCTTAGTACAAAACCCAGCGAACGACTTGCTTTTTTGACAACATTATCAATATGTTGATCAAATATCAATTTACTGTCAAAAGTCACCCCTAAATCTTTAATCGAATCTACTCGAGTTAGGGAAGCATTATATAATGTGTAGTTATATAATATTTTTGTGGATTTTCGGGTATAGGTACTTACATAGCATTTAGAAACATTAAGATCCAATTTGTTTATAATGCAGTAATTTTGAAATCTAACAAGATCGTCCTGAAGACAGTGGGCGTCATTAATATCATTAATTTTACGTAAAATTTTCATATCATCGGCATATAAAAGTATTTTAGACTTCAGAAAACAGGAAGCGATATCATTAACAAAAATTGTGAAAAGTAGGGGTCCTAGCAATGATCCTTGAGGTAAACCAGAAGGGATTTATCTATTTCTTTCATATGATTTAGTATGTAGTTCCATCTCGCTCTTGTTAGTTGTCAGCTAGCCAGCCAGAAACAATAATTAAGGTTTAAAAAGTAAAACTCATCATCCTGGCGTGCCATTCTCGTTCAATTTTGTGTAGGTTATGATACGAATTTAAGAAATTCATTTTTCCCACGTCAAGTGAATTGCATGGAACTTGCCTGGTTGCTTAGAAGCTTACAGTAGGCCCCCAGAGCCACGAATTCTCGTGTGAGGCGAGTGCAATAGAATGTTTAACGATAAGAGTTAATTTGGCCAGAGATAGGCCAAAGCCGGCTTATGCGCAGTAGCGGCTCGCCACCGTATGACAGAAATACATCAGCAGCATGAAACCCCAATCGCTTCCTTCACTCGTATTGTATCAGTCATAGACCCATTTATACTTGAGCCTCTTAATCTGACCTTTTTTGAGGACATCCCAATCTGATTGAGATATGTAAGTCGAGGGCATCCTCTCCCCGCGTTTCCCTCCACTTTCGCTTTATAAAGACGTTTTCTGGCTGATTGTGATAATAAAGGAAAAGTAACTAAATAAGTAACATTTATATCATGTAACTAGAATGTACTATAAAATCTATAATATTTCGTGTACGTAGTGATCAGACGAATTAAGATCCAAGCAATTAAAATTTATGGTATGGTATGGTGTGACGGGCTAGTGTCCGCAACTCGACATCTAGGCGCCTAATTAAACCGTAATAGCTAGATAGATATTCCATGCATTATTGCTTCCAAGATTTTTTTCTGCAATCCTCAATATCAGCGAAAAAAAAAATAGTTCAATTTAAAAGTACACGGAAGCGTTGGACGCAATTAATGGGCTCTACTGCAAATAGAATGCGGTTCGCTTCGGGTTTGGCTACAATATGAACCATATTTAAGATAGAACACCCTCAAACCTGTATACTGTATTAACCGACTTCAAAAATGGAGGAGGTTCTTAATTCGACTGTATGTTTTTTTGTATGTATATTACAAGATAACTTGCGAACCGATTTTGGTTATTCTTTTTTTGTTGGAAAGAGGGTAAGTAATGGGCCCATTTAAATTTGAAATAAATATTCCACCTCTGAGGGTGGCAAACTAGGGCATGAATCCGGTTTCAATAAAATTTGACAAATAGATGTAATTTCACGAGCTTTTGTGGTCGGTTTTTTCAGTACTGTCTGCTGAGATTATAATCTCCAAGCTCCTTAAAAATTGTCAAAATTTCGTAGTCAAATCCGTTTATGCACGATGACTTGACTCCTTTTTTCATTGATTGACTTGACTCCTTGTTTCTTTGATTGACTCGACTCCTTTTTTTCTCTCGATTTAGTTTCTATTTCATTCCTGCTCAGCAGGGACATCAAACATTGATACGCTATACGGATCCTTTTTGCTAGGAGACAATCTACTTATATAGGTAGTAAAAACGAATCGTTAAACTCACTAATGAATATAATTTGAACGTGTCTATGAATCCCGAAGGCATCATCGAACAGGTTGATGGATTTGTTGTTATAACACAACCGTCAAATCCCACAATTGGAGTATTTCGGGTTCCGTTACAACAGCTACGTGTGCCTTTCGTGCAATATGTAATGTTATTACGTTATGGATGACATATCTATGTTTTGCGATTGGCAGTATAATTACCCACACAGTATTTGAGTATTCTAGACATTATTTGCTGGTCGCGGATTTTTATAAATTTATGTATTGCATCATGAGCACAGAGAATGATATCTCATATAAACATTGAGCCTGTCAGGGTATTGCAATCTAATTATTAATTTTATATTATACTTTATAACAATTTTATGCTTTAATACAAACTCTGTTAACTGCTCTATTAAAAATTGAAATATGCGTCATCACTAAAAATTACTAAATATGTACGTATATTAGAAGTATGTGGTTCGTGAGAAATAGAACATTTATCCATATTGCTTATAGCTCTCTATCTGACAAGAACTCTTCTATTGAGTACCTAGTAATATAGGATGCGATGTACCGGGTTCGATTCCCTAGTTTTATTTTCCCTATGAGGCTAGAAAATCAAACAAAGAATTACGGTAAATTAAAATAATTATAATAAAAAAAAAAATTAATTCACGAATTCAAATTTAAATTAAAAAAACGTGCATATATTTATCACGAGTCGTGGTATCGTGCCTTAAGACTTTAGGTTTTCCGCTTCCGAGTATGGTACTCCACTGTATATTTGCCGGAGCAGAAGAAGGGCCACAGGACGAGCAGTAATTGGTAGCCGTTCAGCGGATGTTGTTTCGTCCTAGTCCAGACGTGGTCAAGATCCAGGTTCAGGCTCCAGCCCGAATTTCAATATGTCTGGTGATTTATTATATGAGTATAGCCTTGTAATAGATTTTTTCCAGTCAAATCTAGTTATTTAAGTAAATAACCTTTCTATTTGTTTGGCGTCTAGATATTTTGACTGCCTGATTAATTATTGCGCAAAAATTTCTTAATTTGACTCCTAGAAGTTAGTGTGGTTAATAAATTTGCTTGTTTCTTCGATCACATTTTAAGCGCTGATTACCACTTTACACTGTCATTAGTTTTCCGGAAGTAAAGCCATAATTTATTTACATGACTTACGTATTTTTTTGTATTTCAGCGCGGTGCAATGGCGGTGCGGTGATGGCGGATGGCGGCGCGGGCGCAGAGGGCGGCGGGGCTGGGGAGAGCGCAGCGCGCGGCGCGGCGCTGGAGCGCGCGTACGTGCACGACGTGTACGAGCAGGCGGGCGCGGCCGACGAGCCCGCACCGCCCGCGCCTGCCGCCAGCGCCTTCCTCGCCGACCTAGACCCCGGCAGCCTCGTCTGCGACGTCGGTCAGTACCTACCAACACCTCAATCCTCATCATTTACATTAATTCTCCTAAGAATCAATCTATCCGAAGTGCAAAATCACAAATACTCAAAGATATTAGAAGATATTGAGTTAAGATAAAAAAGCAGAGTAGCAAAACTTTTTTTTTTTTTTTTTTTTTTTTTATGACATTAAGTAACGGGACGAACAAGTCGTGTGCCTGATGGTAAGCTACACGCCTGCCCATAACAGTTGCAGTGCCACCAAGAGCTTTAAATTACAAAGATCTTGGGGGCACTGCCACTGCGCCCGTCACCCTGAGACATAAAACTGTATCCTTGAAACATTTTGCAGTGGCGCACATACTACGTATATTACTTGTGAGGGGTACGGGTATGGATATGGAGAGACATTCTCTCCTTTCTCTCCTAATTAATCACACTTCGATTGCAGTTCATCTAAACAGAACTAACAAAACATTATGATAATCTACCAGTGTCTTTGATACATATAGTTTTTGTGAAGCTTACTAATTTTTAGCAAAGCAAGTTTGCGAATAACAAATTCACACCTAAGAGAAATCTTTTCATGATCAATAATTTTCTATAACATGTCACAACACCCACAAAAAAAGCTGGGTTTGGTTTTTTTTCGTTTCCAACAAATACTGAAATCTGAAATACGAAGCATATTTTTTGGACAGCATGTTTTGACAAATTATTAGTACATAATTAATGTTACGAATAAAAATACAAAAATACCAACCACCGTGAAACGAATTTCGAAGGAAGGGAATGTTTAACAATAGAAACCGATGTGATCATTGTACGTGTATGTGGGCTCGCAGTAACATGTACTAAGTGTCTTGTAAGCAACCCGTATCCTGCCCACACAGTGCTTGTAAATATAACTACAAAGTTAATTAGTGATTCCAGCAAATGACAGTCGTGGGAGTCGAAATACGCTCAAACATATCTCTCTGACTTAAGATACAACACAACAACAATAAATAAAAAAACGATCGTATTTCTAGACGTGACGCATTCTCGTCGACGGTCAATTCTACGAAACGTCTACTACAACATCACGACGACTACATGAGCCTCTTTATTATTTAAGCATTTTTATGACGATTTAATTATCCATATAATTACGAGTATACTTCGTAGGAGTACAGTTCCTTGTGAAAGAGTTCGTCCAGTGAAGTACAAACGCCAAACAGTAATGTGAGCATTACTGAGTTCCGGTTTTGAAGCCCCCACCAGCAGGTGGAAGTACAGGCAAATGGGAACTTGCCAACTTATGTCTCAGGGTGACAGGCGCAGTGGTAGTGCCCCTCATATCTTTGCGATTTACAGCTCTGAATGGCACTGTAACTGTTATGGACAGGCGTGTAGCTTACCAACAGGCGCACGACTTGTTCGTCCCATCACTTGATATTATAAAAAAAAACTTTGACATTACCACTATCAGTTTGACTATAATATAAACTTGCAAGGGCAGCTATTGAAAAAATGATAAAGTCAGCAAGATAAAAGGCATTTGTCAAAAAACTTTTTTCATACTTTTATAGGACCACCTGTTTGAAAATTGTATTATCTCGATGACGGCACCATTTTTTTAAACTCTGTGAATGCCAAGAAATACTTTCAATGCGTGCACGAAATGAGCCTCCACGCACGACGTACTATCCGCGTACGTCCGGCGCACTTTGGGCAACAATTGACGAGTACCTAACGCCAATTGACAAATCCTTTCACCACGATTGGCAGTGTGTGTCAAAATTCATGTGCTGTCTTTCAGGATAATTTTCTTTTAGCTATGGCGGTTCAGGTAGCTGAACTTGCTGATCTGTCTCAAATTTCCACCCTGTATATTACATTCTTACGTTCTTTTCAAATCATAACTTATTTAACGCTAATCTAAGCGCACATTTTTCATCACTAACTCAGACATTGATCAAGGCCAAGTTGTGGAATATGAAATAATTAATCTCTCATACTAATGATTCTAGCATTATTGTCGAAACTCAATACTAGATTGTGTCTCTCTATACAGGTAAACCTTAGTCGACCTTTACGTTCAATTGACATACAGGCTGTTAATTTAATTGCGTTACACCCGAAGGGAGGATGGGAACACATCTGAAATCAGCTGTTCCATATATTTTAGTCGAGTGTGTATGAATATTTTTAACATTGTTTTGTCTATTGTAGGGGCATTCTATATACACCTACTTAAATACACTACTGTATCTACACGTGATTTAGTGTTACTTGTAGGTAGTGCATTACTTGTAAGTAGTGCCAGCACTAAATTAGGGTTGCAGTATTTACTGTACTTAGAAAACTGTATACGTAAACTGTGGTTAACGGTGTTGGTTACTCATTAAGTCACTGTTTGTTTATTATAACAATCTACTACTTGCAATGTGTAATGTTTACTGACCCCATTAAAAAAAAACATTTAGTATGGAAATCAGTATTACTAGATGGAATTAGAATATTAATTAACACTTTGTATGTATAAGTAATAAAATATTAATATAGTATAAGATTTTTATATAACGGCTATAAAGTTACTGCAGTAGTCTAAATAGGCTTCTGAGTCAGGTGTAGGGACAAGTTGTTTAGGTGGGGTTTTGGGGATCGCCTTAACCTGGATTATATGTGCGTCGTCCATCTCACTATGTGCCCTGCATGCCCTAACACCTTGAGGATGTAATGGCGGCTACTAGAGACGCGATCGGCGTGGCTGAGTTTTGGACCACAATAATATAGAGTATGCCGGCGATACGAAACCTAAGAAGAAGTATTAAGTAACGATTTTACCTATAAATCTCGAAGACTATGCTCTCTATACATCGTAGATATTTTCTACGATGTATAGAGTACATGATCTTCAATCTTGGCCGTTATGTACGCCACACACGCCCGTTTGTCTCATGTTAATACAAACAAGGGAAGCACCTAAAACTGAAATAAGAAGCTAGACAATTTACCATCAAATCTCTTATTCATGGCACACGTGGAGCTTTGAGGGAGACCTTTTCGCATTTGGTTTATTGGGTGTGTAATACCTTTTTACCTGACTAATCTAAAGAGAGTGCTAATGATTTTAACACTATTTGTCGGTGTAGAATGAGTACAAGTATTATGTCTGTATTCGACCTCCTGACGACGATGTCGTAAAGTTCGGTGGTATTGTGATGACCCCATGAACCCAGAAGTTAGCACTATGGGCACTAGATATGAAGGTTTGATTTTAGGATTCGATACCAATTAAAGAAAAATACTGATAATTTTACAATTCAAAAGAAACCACCAGGCGCATGACTTCGTCTGGTCCCGTCACGTGGTGTCATAAACAATGTAATTCATTCATCAACACGAAGAAGTTTTACTATGAGGACCCGTCTTAGGAACCATTAGTATTGGGGATTCCCCAAGTTACTGAAAGTAGTTCATGTTCATGGGTAAAATTACAATTAAAAAACCATTATATATCTCACTGCCGGGTACCAGTGCTCTTTAGGCCAGTTTGGAAGTCCACCAATGGGGACTCTTACATTGTCGCAGGGTTTTGAATCTTCTTCAAAGCGCAGGTTAATACGATGTATTCCTACTAAGCATCGACAAATGCACGTGACTTAGGTACTAAAGTCATAGGAACAGTCGATGCCCTAAGATGCCTGCCTGACCCCTTACCCGACCTTTTGATTCTGAGAGCCTTTTTACGTATTCAACAGAAAGTAAAGAAATTATATCAAAATTAATTTTGTGGCTCACAGATTAAAGGTTAAGGTAGTTTAAAATCTTTGTTCACACTGATCTACTCCAGAACCAAATACTCGGTTATGTGGTCAAGTATCTTAAGGCATCGACTGTACAAGCCGCCACAATAAAATATCATAAATAATATAATAATATTTATGTCTGTATCGTGGCTTACAAATCGCTGATAAAAAGGTGCCCTTTTCATACTTGTCAAGTTTTTACTTATCCAACCAGTGTCCTTTGCGATATAAAATATCATGAATATTATATTAGTCACAATGAGTATCGCGTAGGTGTTATTGAAATCTCTCGACTTACTATTGTATTAAAGTTTCTACCCCACTCTTTTTTCTACATCCTACGCATTCTACGTGTTCCTTTACGAAAGGTATGATACTGGCGGTGTCGGTTTTGAAGGGATTTTTAATTCTTTGTTAAACTAATTTATTAATTTTTAAAATACGGTTTAATAATTTAATAAAATACGGTTTTTAATGGCTTAAACTTACACAGTAGCTAGAAAGACGCATCTAAATCGTTGCTTCGAGAGGATATACTGAGTGCGATATTTTAGTTATAATTATTAATAAATATAAAAAAAAGAAGCGGAACGATGGAATAGGAAAACGTCATGGCTTCGTAATATCAAGGAGTGGACCGGCATTAAGACCGTGGAACAACTGTTCAGGCTAGCTCTGGACAAAGAAAGATATATAGAAAACTGACTGCTGACCTTCAATAATGGAGAGGCACTTGAAGAAGAAGAAGACTCGAATCAAGTCCAACTGAGTTATGGAACGATCCAGCACATCTTACGAATGTCTCTATGTGCTTGTTTCAGATCTTTGCTTTTGGTTTTAAACATTTTTCGTGCCTTAGGCATCTGTGAGAAATCTATGAAAGATTTTCTTCACTCAGCCTTACACAGTACCTGTACAGCTACAACAACGGCTAATTGGAGATGTCACTTTAATAAAATTGTAATATGAAGTTTAATGATATTCAATTCGCTGGAAAGGTTAGGAAATATTGTAGTTACTTACGTTACAATGTACTTTCTAGTTTTCCATTTATTAAATAAGTTGGAGTTGATTTTTTTCTTAAAAAAAAAATTGCTTCAAATGGCTCTCTTGTAGGGCTAGCACGACAGGACGCGATTTGCGCGAGAGCGACATAGAAGCGCGAAATATTGTTATTCTCTATACGAAAATAGCAGTATCTCGCACCTCATGTCGCTCTCGCGGAAGTCGCGCCACATCGTGCTAGGCCTACTATAATATTTTCCAAATGCACGTCAGACGTTTTACCTTTTTACTCCACTAGTTTGTTATGACTATTAACACAAAGATCGAACTCAAACAAAAATTCCTTCGGTTCGGCTAGACTCGAACAAGCTGCCTCGCTAAACCGTAAATGACCGTAAGTGGTTGGTGTCTGAGTAATAAATATTACGATATTACAGTTGTTTAGGCGCTTAGAAAGCGTACGTAACTCGTCTCTCCTTGGAGGACGTATATGGAAAGCTGTATACGCGACGTAGGAGAGATGGTTTGCTCAAGGGAAGGCTAATTACTCTGCGGTGGACGCGTATAACTAGGGCTTCCAATTTCACTGCTTTCCACGTTCGGGACAAATATATTTAGAGTCAGCGCGGTCCCGAAAATAAGACTTTCGAGCTTGTTTCAAAAGGTTTAGGTTCCATATTTATAGGCATATTCAGGATATTTTAAATAAGTTCATATTAAATCAAATGAAAAAATAAAAAATAATTTATTATTATTTTTTCTTTTTTCATTTTTATAGTGGGTACTTAAAAGAGCGTTTCATACAGTTTGAGATAGGGTGGACTTGATTTTGTTGCTACCGTTCTTCATTCTCCATAGATTATATTAAGCTCCACTCTACAGTTTGGCTATGTTCATTTAACCAGAACAAAAAATGACTTTGTTTAGTAGATTTTTAAAACTTTTGAATTCAGAATATTCCTAAGACTGAAGATCTCTATATAGAGATAAAGTAGTTTAACATTAACGCGACGAAAGATAGTCGAGTAATTATTATATAAGATATTAGATATAAGTACATATGTGTAAAAACGAATTTTTTTAACTACACGTAGAACATCGTAGTTGTACCTAACTAATCAATGAAAAGTCTACCCTAATGTTGAAATGTTGATTTGAAGTTATGTTTTACCTGATTTAAAAAGTTCTGGGAAAGAAGAAAGAAAATTACTACAAATGACACTACAGAAAAAAATAAAAATAAATCATTAGAAAAAATAAATTAAAAAGAACGAAAGATCAATAAGTACATGAGAGCATAAAAAATCAAAATGTAAGAAAAACTGAAAAGGAAACCACAAGACAATAAAAAAAATATTTACAAATACGAAGACACTAAATGTAAACGTAATTTGTGTGGTATCAGCTGCAGTCACAAAAGGGTCACTACATCAGGATTTTGTTGGAAATCACAGTATGTTCCCATCACTGATTTTCAATTAGGTCATTTTAGGTCAGGTTAGCTAAAAATTGTAATGATTCCTGGACCTCAAACTTTCAAAATTAATAAGTATTGTACTTACACTTTTTAGACTACTTTACTAATCGAGGACATACTTCACTATACTAACTTATTCAAGAGAAGGAACTCGAGGCTTTCCACTATGCGTTCGTGTATGTAAACGTTCTGTCTAGAATATCCTTATATTTCGTACATACGAATATAGTAGTTATACCTAGAAAATATAAAAACGACGCCAAACTAGATTATTTAATAATTACACACACCGTACGGCTTTAGGAACACTTAAAAAATTCCTACATACAATTGTTAAAATCCCCGTGTTCTGTTAAAGGTGTTGATAATAATCCTTTGTGAGCAGGTTACCAAATTCTCAACTCATCATATTTTCAGCTCACCACATTTTCATCTTACCATATTCTCAGCTCACCACATTCTCATTTCGCCATGTTCTCAGGTCACCACACCCTGATTTCATAATAGATATCTGTAAGGCTAGCACGACAGTGCGCGACTTGCTCGACAGCGACATAAAAAGCAACTTACTGCTATTCTCGCATAGAAGTCTCACGCTTTATGTCGCTCTCGCGCAAGTCACGCCCTGTCGTGCTAGCCCTACTTATGTAGGTAAGACATTTTCCTCTACAAGGTCAACCAAAAATGAAGTTAAAGTTAAAGTTAGCTAGCTGTTCTTATGTTGTAACATTCAGTTTTCATTTTACCTTGGTCGCAAATTTGCAATCAACCTCTCCCCGCCCGCCATTCACACCCCTAATGCGAAGCCATGTTAATCGTGAACAATCATTGCGTGTTACCAATTTACCTCACCATAAGTACCAATTACCTTCCCATACTAACTTCAAACTACTTCTAGGTTCTATCATACCTACGCCATATATTTCGGTTCAGGTTGCGGCAACGGTAAATACCTGAGCGTGAATCCGTCCGTGTTCGCCGTGGGTGGTGACCGATGCACGCGCCTGGCGGCGCAGGCGCATCAAAGTAACGACGAGGTATGTTTTATTTTTAAATGTAGACGTAGAATGTAAAACTTTGCTGTTTATATTTTTCAACGTTAAAACGCAACCATGTCAAGAAATGGAAGGCGTACCATGTCCGATAATTTCTCCGATGATGCCCCTCAGCAGATATTGATATAGATATTGGTCTGGAATAAACCCGTCTGGTCATGACGCACTTTGTCTGCTACACTGTTCTCTGGTGCGTATTTTGTTTATTTGGGCTCGTTGTCCCACTTACCAACCAAATTATCCTTATCGGTTGGTTTTCAAACCCATTTTCAGGTAGTGGTGTGTGACAACATGTGTCTGCCGTTCCGCGATGAGTCGTTTGACGCAGTGCTCTCAATTGCGGTGGTGCACCACTTCGCGACAGTTGAGCGGCGCGCCATGGCGTTACGGGAGTTGGCGCGCGTCACTCGCATCGGTGGACGCTTGCTGCTCACAGTCTGGGCCATGGAGCATGAAGGACGCAACTTCCACTCGCAGGTATTACTAATTTCACGCCATAGTACTCCTTCAGTATTTCAGTAAAGCGACCGCGGGACCGTCGATTCAACAATTGTAACGATAACTCCATCCACGTTGCGATAATCGTGCATTCACCCGCACATCAAGCTATAGAAACTTAGAAACTGTCACTGTTTTAACCTTCAAATTTAAACATTGTGTAATATTTTGCATTACCACACAATATTTATGACAAAACAATTTTAACGACTTGTTTTTAATTATAGCAGTAACGGTGACATAAGCTAATAAATATATTGAAATAAAACTTGTCACGTCTGACCAAAACACGTGAGACCATTGACGCGACTATCGCAACCTGAATGATTCGCTTTAAATATATATATCGGTCTCATCGATCTACCTCTGGCTGTAACCTATCTGACTCTACATTATTTACGAAAAGGCCAAAATTTCTTTGTTATTCAGCTTATAAAAACAAACAACTTTCCTTCTAGGTCTTTAAATAGTCAAACAAATTAAACATTCCAAGAAATAGACAAGACAGCGCTTGAAGTTTGTAAGGGAAATCGCAAAAAAAATGTGAATTTTCAAAAAGGGCAAAGCACGACATTCTCTTAATTTGTACCACATTTGATGCCACTACCAGTTGAAAGGATTACGGGATAATCTGGTACAAGGCTTTTTCTTTTTTAAAATCTGTGAATATTACAACAATTTCAGGACGTATTAATACCGTGGCACCGGCCAGCAACACTCTGTCCACCTACGCCTGCACCTCGGTTTCTATCAGTCGATCACGATCAGTAAGTGCATTCAAAAAATACGGATTGCTTTGTTTTATCATTGTTATCAATTTATACTTAAATATTTTTGTCATTTCCAGGAACGGAGACCCTTGGAAAAGTCGTGATGGTTCGCCGGGCTCATCGTCTCTCTCATCACCCAATGAAACATGCTATTCTTTTGTACGGCGAGCTTTGCAACGACTCGCAGGACGTCGTTCCTTCTTACCTTCGTGGAGTCTAGCAAGAGTACCACCACGACCCTGCACTCGACCTGAACCACCCGCCGCTGACTTACCAATCGAGTTGAGACGATTAGATGAAGCACTGCCATCCAGACTCGTTACCCAGTCTTCTGATGCATCTGCTATGAAATCGAGGAGCCTAACTGACATCGCCGATATTGAACATAGAGCTCTTGCGCGATCTAGGTCTAGCTTACCGAGTTTGGGAATGGACGAACATGATTTGCTACCACCCCAAGCTCCAGCTCCCGAAGTTCCTGAACCTAGAAAGAAACCCCGACTAGTCAAACAAAAAAAATCGATTAACGAAGATGATGCAGAAGAGGATCTCGACAAACCCACTGATATGAAAAGTATGGTCGAGGAAATGCCTAATTTTAAAATTCACACACATCGACAACAATCAAAAAGGCCTGGACGCGTATTCAAACAAACTTCATTGAACGAGGAATTGATGTCTGTAGAAAGGTTACGGGAAAAAGAACGATTAAGAAAGAACATTCAAAAGCAAGCGAGCCTTAATGAAGAGTATTTGTACAGAAGACCAGGGGCCTTGGACTCGATACGTGACTCAATATTTTCGACATCTGCAACCACAGCTAAAAAATTTCAATCTCTCAAAAATGGCCTCACTAGTAAGTTCAAAACATCTACAACGAATATAGACAAAGTTACCGTGTTCGTAAGAATGCTTCAAGGATGGAAAAGTCATGGCCCGGTGCCGGAAATTCCTACACCGAGCGACACCGGCACTGGAAATGAAAAAAGTTACCCTGAAAGACGACATTCGCGAGAGGATGGGTCCGATTCATCAAAAGATAGTAGCTTGCAAAGCGACACAAGTGTAGACTCTGAAGACAGCTTTGCATCTGTAATATATGTTCCTAAAGCAGACGGGTCGGGAGATCCACTATCGCCAACCCCACTTTCTCCTGGACCAACGTCACCAAGGTTAAAAGTATCATCGGTACCAACATCTCCTAGAATGAAAAGTTCACCAGGTTTACCTTCACCAAGAATAAAACAAGCGTTTCCATTGATTCGACCACCCACTTCACCGGGGGTAGTGCCTACTCCGGGATCAGTTAATAAAATACTCGTAGCGCAGTATAGCTTGAAAAATTATTCCACAACAAATTCCTTTTGTGCAGCATCCATGAAACCTCAATCTAAAAGTCAACCCAACTCACCACCTAAGTCGGAGTCAGATGAAAAAATTACGAAACCTGAACTCCAACCAATCATAAATAAAGATATAACGATGGAAGTATTTGAAGAAATTGATCCTATACCACCAATAAAAGAAGAAGAAGAAATTACTACTCCTGAAGTGACAAAAGAACTTATTGCTGAAATAAACAAAGACATTGAGGAAATTCATAAATTAACTGCTGAAACAAATCAACTAAAACCAAGAATTGTCCTACAAGATATCAAGCCTTATCCTAAAATTACATTACAAACTGTCGCGGAACTACCAGAAATACCACAATTTAGGCCTAAAGAGCCATCTAAGTCACCGACCGATACCCTTGATTCCAGATCATCAGATAGAAAAAGGAAGGATAGGATACGCCAAATAAAGGAGATGTTGAACAAAGGCATTCCTGGGGCAAATATTGGCAGGCGTCCTCCGTTCCCAATAGTGCGAACTAGTAAAATAGAGCCTAGCGCGAAAAGTCACCCTAAATTACTTAATTTAGAACTGTTCAACCCGGCTATTGACGACATAGATAGCGACTCTAGTGGAGTGTCTTCACCTGATTCCGTAGATAGCGTCATAAGCGTCATTCCTGATGACCTACGCAAAACTGCAATGGAAAAAGGTAAGATAAAATAAAAGTATCTCCATTTCACATACAAAACCATCATTTTTACACACACACATAAACAAACAAGTAATCATGAAATTGACATATACATATTTACAATATTTTCATATGTTACAGATTCATTACCCGTTGAAATCAAAGAAGAAACCTCTGACATAACAACCGAAAAGTCACCATCAATATCGCCAGCCCCACAGACTTTGATAGAAGCTGCTGCGGAAGTTGCACACTCTTTAGATGAAACTTGTGAGACTGTGATTCAGTCAAGTCCAAGATCTAAAAGAAAACATATAGAGAAGCTGGAGAGCGCAGAAGCGGTGGCCATAGTTCAAGGAGCCTCTAGTAGCAGTAGCAGTAGCAACTGGAGTTTAAATAAACTTTCCCCTGGTGATTTACGAATGTTGGAGGACAGGTCACGATCACATTCTCATACCAGCTCGAGTGGAAGTTCTTCGAGTTTAGAACGCCTTTCTCCTGGGCGAAGATCTAAAGATCGATCACCAAAACTAGGAAGTACCAGTAATTCTACTTGGAGCCTTAACAGATTGTCACCAAACAGGCCTGAAGGACGGTCTCTTGATGATAATTTGGGTAAAAGTCACAGAAGTCCAACTAGATTACCATATGATTCCGTTTCTATGTCCAGCACTGATTCGGAAAAATCTATTTCTAAGTCAGAAAGCTTTAACCGGATTCAAAACGAACCTCTCGTGACCTGCAAATCTGACATGCTAGCAAAAGAAGATGACTGGATGGATCAACAGGATCATAATCAACATCTAACTGAATTCGCTGAAAAACTTAGCGAGAAATTATTACAAGAGATCGATCAATATTCAAAACGTATTAATGAAGAAGACTTCGACTTGCCAAGCAGTAGCAGTAGCGAAAAAAGTATTTCTCTGAGATTAAAAAGAGAAGAAGAAGACAGAAATACTCAAAAAATATTGGATGAATTGTCTGACAGCTTACAACATCTGGAAGATCCTTACCATAATAAATTTATAGCTGAGAAACAAGGTTTAACTAAGACAGGCACAGACGTACATGAGCGGAGTAAATACATTGCGGCATTACACGACGCTCAAGAGACTGACATTAACAAATTGTTTCCAAAATGCGGTTCTAAGACTAAAAGCAAGAAGAGGTCGAAAGATGTTGATCCTATTATCAATAAGTACAGAGAACTGAAGAAAACTCTAAAAGTTACAAGTGACGAAGATATTTACCTAAACAATTGTGCCAACATACAATACAACGTAAAACCTACTATTGATGAAAAATTATCTGATACAGAGACAAAGAACCCGGATGATGACAGTGCCATTTCCTCGAGTAATGGTAACCCTGAAATAACCATCGACTCTGGCGCTTATGATACAAGTCAGTCCCTTGAAACAGGCTATTCTTTGGAGTCTGAAATAAGCGTAGACTCTTTGTGCACCAGTACCGATAAACGTTCCTCTCTGAAAGTGGGACAATCTACAGACTCCAGTGATTTAGACAAGATGGAAATAAGCCCAGAGTCAATTACTTCACGGTCCAGTACAAGTACTGCGCCCCTTAGATCTGGTTTCTCGATTGAGTCAAGTGACACATCCGCTGGTAGCGACTGGAGTCGAAGAGATAAGACTGGGAGCACGGCATCGCTGGGTTGTGCTAGCTTAGCATCCCTGCCTTCTTGCAGCGAATGCTCAAAGGAGAGAAAGTTGCTGGAAACCCGCTCCTCTTCGGAAGATACAGCTACGGCACCGGCTGTACCCTCGCGTGCTGCACCTCATGCACCTTTATTGCCTTCTTTGAGCGACGGCTCGGACAGCCTGCCATCAGAAGGAGGTGCGGTAACGTACCATAGGTATTATCACGTGTTCAAGAGAGGTGAATTAGACCAGCTAATTGAAAAATACGTGGAGAGCCTCCACGTTGTGTCTTCATACTATGACCAGGCCAGTTGGTGTGTAATAGCAGAAAAAGTACAAGTTTGGACCATTTAACTGTCATATGTTCGCGTTTCCTGATTTAGGGGCTGGTGGAGGCTAATAATTACTATAACATTTTACGACGAAATCTTATGAAATAGTGACGATTGAAGCAGACTATAATACATACAATTGACACTTATAAGTGCAGTGATTACATCCAAGTGACCTTCCTAACGAACTCTTAAGTGAGTGTTAAGGACATTCATAAAAAATCTAGATACATAACTGAAGGTGTAAACGGTTTGCAAAAATATCAACAGCCAAGCTTTTGTTTTTAATAATATTCTAGTCACTCTATACTGGTTTCATAGTTGTTATCTATATAATCTTGAAATTTATGGCCCATCGTCGCAAAACATGGTCGAGAGTGCAATCTTAGACTGTATTTTGTTCAGAGGCACTTATAGTATTCAATGCGAGAATAGTACTTGCATAAAATGAAAACTAAGAGCTTTAAATAGTGGAAACTTAATATAAATATATACTTCAGAGGCTCAATATAATATAAGCTATCCATAGCTTATTTACTGTATCTAACATTCACGTTTACTTACATACAATAATACAGCTATATACAATAATATATCTTCCTTAAGTTGGTGCGTTCTTATATACCTAACATTGACCGGACTAAAATTTGTTACATACATAATGCCAGTACTATCTAAGTGCATAAAGGTAATGATGTTGACTTCGTTGCTCCCAGTTCCTAACCAAATAATTTGATAGATGTTTGTCCCTTATATACTAATAGAGAGTGACAAGGATGACCGTTAGTAGATCTGTCACAATATTGTTTAGAATAAAAAATGTACGAAACAGAATTGCCTCAGAGTTAGTACAAATGTTACAATTTGTCTTGCTGGCTTTTGCACTTGTGTAGTACATGCTGCCGTGCTTGCGATAAGAACAGCAAGTCTATATGTATTTCAAACATACTTTCTGTTAAGATTGTAAGCACGGCAGCATGTCTATAGGCAAATTTTAAAGCGTGTTGCCACAGTGATGGTGAAAAGGAACGAAATTGTGTTAAAGCAAATAATTAAACTCGTGCCTGTACACAACAAATAAATAAAATCTCTTTTTGTCTCTTGTCTTAAGAAATAGCTCAACCACTTTCACCACTGTGACAACACTTAAAAGGGACCTATGGATATGTACTACCAGCAAGTCAAAGCAAAACAAAATGCAAGATTGGGTCCACTAACATCCCAGCTATGTAGATTGTAATCATGTTTATGACAATAACAAAAGAAAACGGATTAATATTGTAATTAATTTTATTTTGGATTATGGCGCAACTTTTGATAATGTACTTATAATGTTCTGTTTGAAGTGACATTTATAATCCAATCATCACGAAAGAGCGCTACTTGAACAGAACTTACTTACTTACCTACTTCTCTGGCTCCGATACTTGAAGTGGGTCTTCGCCTTCGATAAGAGTTGGCGCCAGCGCGTCCTGTCTTCTTCGATCTCGTCTCAGTTCTCTGCGTGCTGAGTCTTACTCCACTTCGTCCCTCCATCGGTATATGGATCGATTAACCAGTCGTCGACCACTAGGAAGTCCCTTGTAAGGCCATTTCACCGCCCTATGATGTATAAAAACAGTGTATAAAAAATTTAAATAAATCAATAATTGACTAACATCTATTACAATATATTTAATTAATTATTATTTTAGGCCCGTATTTGGGAGTCACCACTATCGAAACTGAATCACATTAGAATTTTAAGTCGCGGTCAGAAATAGCTTTAATTTAATAGCGAAAAAGACGTTATGTGGCTTGGATCGCATAAGCGTAAAACATGTAACGTCTTTTTCACTCTTTTGCGTGCGCATAAAGTACAGGCCACATCGCGAACGCAGTTGCAAGCAAACTAAGCTAAGTTAGCTTAGTTGGCATAGTTGGTTGCATGCAACTACGTGAGCTAAGCTAATTAGCTAACCTCGTTCGCGGTGTGGCTTGCCCTTAAGCTTTATCTGATATGCCCAAGCCGATTCCGCATTGTTAAATGTGATGACTCCCTTAGGCTTAGATTTATAAAACGAACTTTAGCATCGACTAGCAAAGAAGGCGTCTTAAGCAAATTTTTCGTATTTACAAAACGAACTTCGCCTAAGTTAAAGCAAGAAATTAAATTACCTACACTTTGAGCTAATTTCGGTATTTCCTGCTTAAACTTAAGCAAAGTTCGTTTCATAAATACGAAAAACTTGCTTAGCTCGATATTTTTGCATAGCAGAAGTCAAAGTCGGTTTATAAATTTCAGCTTTAATAAAGAGCTTCCAAGTCCGGTGTTCGAAAAATTTAGTACCGCACATCGCCACTAGATGGCATTACTTGTGTGCAATAAAATCAAGTTGTAAAGTGCGTATGTGAGATGCGACTCAGATCTAAAAATGTATGTCATAGCTCCTTTGCTTATTAAAATATAATCATCAACATCTTAGGCACAGTTTACATCGCGGAACAGATTGGAAGCGAATTTATATAGTCAATTGAATATCATACAAACTAGATACGAGCCAAAAAACAAGGAGAATTTCTGAGAATTCTCGCGTGGTCTCGTATCTAGTAGGTATAAGGCACGTTATACAATCGACATAAAGTTTATTATGCTACGTACAATTGCGTTACAAAAACTTCCATTCCGGCGGCATTGAAATCGATCCTTCGATGATGATATCTCAAGTGACCAAGACCCCGCACATAGTTGACAAAGATTTAATGATATTGAAAGGTAGTCAATTTTTACGCATCATGCTTATTGCACTTAAGCGATATTTATTATACATGCAGTCGATTTGAGCAAGATTTTTTTTTTTTTAATAACCTCGCACTATGGTGACCTGTATCGCGGGTGATATGGACACACAGATTATTTGTGTCTAAATAGACAACCACAAATTACACCCCAACTCACGAGATAAATAAATGTAGAACATACAAATATTTCTCCCGGCCCGGTAATCGAACCCGGGGCCTGTGCGTGGCAGCCCAGGATGGGAACCGTTCGGCCACGGATTATATCTTAATGTCGAACCCACCCTGGAAAGGAATTTATGAATACGGGCCTTAATGTACTTCAATTTCAGTCTAGTTTTCACCACTCTTCCCATGTTGATCGGATTATTAATTACCAAGGGTGCGTACAGATCTGGCGAATGGGCCGCAAATGCGAAAGGTTCGCAAGCTGCACACGTGCTTTACATTGTGTGATGTGTTCGCGTGCCGTTCGTGCGCCACATATCGATGGATCCTAAGTATAAGGGCCAAACTAACAATTTGATCATTTTCACTTCTTTGTGGGAAATGCTTCATTGCATTATAAAATACATCTTTTGATTTTATTGCACACAAAAAGTGAAAATAATGAAATTGTTAGTTTGGCCCTTGGACTTAGCACCTATTAATATATTGACATGTATTTAAATGCACGCATGCAGCACGCGTGTAACGCGCATGCAGTATGCAGCCTGCGCGCAGTCCCGTGCAGCGCGTTCGCCAGATTTGTTCGCACCCCAACATATTTGGGACAAACATGTTTCATAAAATTAAGTGATGCTATTTTAAGGACAACTTCTGTAACTAATACGGTAATTATAAATAAGACAAGTATGGCAACTCCGTACAAACGTAGCAGCGTAGCTTGTATGTGTGCGCGCCGGCCGCGCGCCGTGTGCATACATTCGCATAATCTCGCAATGAATTCGCGTTGTATAGCGCTGCTGGTCGTCTCACGCGCCTTTCATTATTATGCGAAAGTGTATAGGTATGTCCGTACACGGTGCTGTACGTGCTGTACTATTCTAATAAAAAGTTCTAAAATATAACTAATTTGGTTATTTAACTATTTTTTCGGATCTAAATAGCGTAAATTTATTTTAACGAACACATCAATGAGTCAGTTGTCAATCATGGAAAATGTAACGGGCCCGGAAGGCTGGTTTGTTCGTAAAAACAAATATACGCAATTTAGATCCGAGAAAATACTCTCATTTCCAATGTGTAACAATTGCGAAAACCTTAGATCTCGATAATACTACTTGCCAAAAATATAAGGAACAGCTTTCGCAGTTCGAAAAAGGTACCATTCATAATCTTATTCGGTTTAGTTTTCAAGTTGCCCTTGAAATAGAAAGTTTTGTTGGATCATTATATAATAAAAATTGCATATGGGTGCATATACAATTATCAAAATATCCAAACTGCATTATAATTTAAAATACATAAAATTCGGACCATTTAGTGAGAGTTAGTGGTTATAGTCATTGTAGTCGCGTGAACAAAAATATCTCTGCTACTTGTAAAATACTTAAGAGTACAAAATACTTACATATAACTTTGTGTAATACTCAAACATATGTATTAATGTTTAATTCATAAAGTTCACGCCTGAAGTATCCAGGCAAATTTCTTCTTTATATTTTCAATAAGTACTTAGGTACATGTGTCATAAAAATGTATTTAGATATATCAAAATTCGTTTTGTATAAAAAATATATTTATTATATTTATTTGCTACATTAAAAATGTTATATTTATCGTAAGTGGAAATAACGAATTTTCAATTTTTTTCCGTTATTAAGTTCTAGTAAGTAAATTAAGTAAGTTAATTATTATTATATAATTAATTAATTATACAAATAACAAAATGATAATACCAATTGAAACAGAAAAAATAATGTAATTCTGGTGCTTGGCAATCTATTACCCACAAAAGTTTTCTGACCAACTGAAAAGATTCTCAATTATTATTATTTAAAGCAAAATCTACAAATTATATATAATATCCATTCGTCTCAAGTCAGCGTCAAATTACCTGAATGTAAAAACAATCTGGAAAAAATGAACTTTAAACGCACTTTCCTTATTGTTTTCCAATGAGTTATAGAATACGAACGCACAGATCATACCCGTGCCGACCATATCTACCAATTAGAACAAACAATGTTATGTAACTTTTTATGGAGTTATAAAGGATTGTTTTTAAAACAGATTTGAATGGGACTTTAAAATTCATGCAAAAGATTTATGAGTTCCCTTTACAATCGACTAGCTGGTGCCAGCGACATCGTCTACGTAGAATAAGAACTGCGAGTAGCCTACTGTACTATATTAATTTTCATATTTTATTGGTTCTCCATACAAATTATTATTTTATTGGTTCCCCGTATTTCACCCGTTTTAGTTTTTGTGACGAAAAGTAGCCTATGTCCTCCTAGGTCCCATCTATCTCTCATACCAAAATTCATCAAAATTGGTTCAGAGGTTCAGGCGTCAAAATGTAACAGACAGTATTCTGTCCAGTATTCTGTCCAGTAGTGCGGCAATCTATTGATTGCCGCACTACTGGACAAATAGGCATGAAAAAAAAAAACGCATCACAAATGACAGGCATCCTATATTGATGGTCGTATTCCAGAACTCTACTCAATGCTCAAGTCAAGACTTGAGTATTGCAGTGAGCACTGAAAATCATACACAAGTCCTTGCCATTAGGGTCAAATTTCCAGTGCAATCCTGACTTGAGCATTGAGTAGTGTTCTAGAATACGACCCTAAGAGCATGTGGGTAATTAAAAAATAATAATTACACACATAACAAACACACATTTAATCAATTTAATTGTATTTTTATTATTCAATGTATACATTCAATGTACAACCTTTTATTTTTAAATAGGTCAGTCATGAACTTATGAGAAGCTTATATGAAATATATGAGAACAGAACTATTATAATATGTATATAGTAGCCATTTGAGAGTTATTATAACAAACGATTATCAAGCACCATGTGTACAATTGGTAAACAATTGCT